GGAATCGACTCGACGGCACTTCACAATCAATCAATCAGGAGGGTTTAATCTGAGTACCTGTCCTGTAGATACTAAGCTTTCACTGTACCTACATTTGAATGTTCTTCAATAAACATTTCCATAATTGCCCATCCAAATATAAAATCATTGTGACATCTGGACAATCCACTTTGACTTTATTATTTCAATATCATTAACAATTTATGAAGTTTATCATTGTTGTTGTTAGTCGGTTCTGACTCATCCTTGTTGTTATGTGTCATAGAGTCAGTTCAGACTCACAGGGACCCTATGGGCCTTCTGAGGAGTGGTTGGTCAATTTAAACCATGGACCTTGCGATTCAAACCCACCTTGTGAACCAGCGCTTATCCTAGAATGCCACACCAGGATTTGATGTGAACCAATATAGGGTTTCCAAGGAACAGCTGATAGGTTTGAACTGCCGACCTTGTGGAACTCACAATTAGCAATCCAGTGATATATCTTACAGTGCAAGTTTGTTAAAGTCATTGAAAGTATCTTTTGAAGACTTGAAAGAGTTCATGCCATTTCCAGAATGGCTCTGTGTGCACAGCCTTACCAAAAACAACATTCATAACGGTGTCAACCATTGGGATTCAAACTATTAGTCAGTTATGTATGCCCCTAGCCTGACAGACAACAGACCACTGGGTACTGCTGTTATTAAGTGCTTTAGAGTCAGTCCCAACTCATAGCGACCCAGTATAGGGATTCTGAGGAGCGGCTGGTGAATTTGAATCACAGACCTTGTAGTTGTTGTGTGCCGTGGAGTCGGTTCTGACTCATAGCGACCCAGTATAGGGTTTCCAAGGCTGTAAATCTTTACAGGAGCAGAAAGCCTCATCTTTCTCCCATAGCTGGTAGCTTCGAACTACTGACCTTGAGATTAGCAGCCCGATTCGTAATCACTACACTACCAGAGCTCTGTGGGAGCTTGTAATCACCAACATTTCTAGGATTCTAAAGAGTGGCATTTAAAAAGAGTAATTTCTTAATTTTTTATCTTTAATTTCTTTGAGATTGGAGTTTTGAATACAGAGATAGTTTTATACTATGACAAACACCGCCCCCTCCGCCACACATACATAAACCCCTAAAAACACCACACTTCCCTTAAAATGTAAACAAAAAGTATAGTACACCTGTTTAGGGACACCAAAACCAAAGTAAGTTGCTAAAGCAAATGGAAGAAATGAGGAGGCAAAAGAGCTGAACAGAAAATTTCAAAGGGCATCTCAAGAAGACAAAAATCAAATATTACAATGAAATGTGCAAAGATCTGGCATTAGAAAACCAAAAGAGAAGAGCATGTTGCTCTCAAATATGGCAGCAAAAATTTATCCAAAAGAATATCAACACAGTGAGATACTATTTCTTCCTGCTTTTTTTTTGGACCTCTATTAGACTTGGGAGTCATCTCATCTCTGGGTTTCCAACACACAGACCTACTGTGATGAGGTTTCCCAGAGCCATCATTCAACGTACCTTCAGGATCTAGTAGTCTTGGGATCCCCAGTTCCGTTTCAGCGATGGTGAAAGCTTCCTCCAGGTTTTCCCTATTTGATCTTCCTTTCGCTTTCTCCAAGTCTACTAGTTCTGGGCGAATAGCATGGATAACAGAATGGAAAGCAATTCCACTTCTCCAACTCTTTCCAAAGTCTTTTACTTCAATTCCAGCCTGCCTTCATATGAAAAAAAATAAGTAACATCACATTAGAGATCATAAGCATTTTCCTGAGGACTCATATAAGATGCAATACTTTCCAAAAAGAAACCATGTGCCCTTAACTACATCATTAACTATTTTTGAGAAATACTAAGAAAACAAAGTGGTTAGAGGGTAACAAGATCCAGTGTGAAAATTCTAGTCCCATCGCTGAGTTCTCTATTCTAGCTTTTACAACACTTTAGAAACCAATTTAAAACGCATATGTTGTTGTTGTTATGGGCCGTGGAGTCGGTTCTGATTCATAGCGCATATAGACATAGCTTTAAAAAAAGACATTTTTTTTCTAATGTCTGGTAAAATAAGAAAGGAAAAACTATGACAATGTCAACCATGATCAAATTCACTCTTGTGTATTTGTTTGGTAATCCTATCGATAATGTTTCTCATGGTAAGCAATGTGTTATACATGTACAGGTCATACATGACTGAAATCTTGTGGTCATTGTTTAGACTCTGTCTTCAATTCTGACTCATGGGGTCCCGTGTGTATACAGCAGAAGAGCTGCAGAGGTTTTCTCAGCAGATCACCAAATCTGTTTTCTGAGACTCTTCTTGCTGTTGTTATTAGGTATTGTCGAGTAGGTACCAACTCATAGCGACCCTATGCACAACAGAAGGAAACACTGCCTGATCCCATGCCAACCTTACACTCATTGCTACATTTGAGCCCATCGCTGCTGCCACTGTGTCAATCCATCATGTTGGGGGTCTTCCATTTTTTATCCGACCCTCCATTTTACAAAACATTATGTCCTTCTCTTATTTTGTTTGAGCAACTGCATCTTGGTCTATGGACAGATTCTTCGTGCACAATGAACTGTTGCAGAATACTCATTCTCTGCAATGTTTTCCGTTGGTTGTCATGATCTACACAATCAAAAGTCTTTGCATAATCAATACAACACAGGTAAACATGTTTTTGGTATTCTCTGCTTTTAGCCAAGATTCTTCTGATGTCAGCAATTATATCCCTCATTCTACATCATCTCCTGAATCCAACTTGAACCTCTGAAAGTTTGCTGTCAATATATGGTTGCAGCAGTTTTTGTATTATCTTTAGCAAAATTTTAATTGTAATGTGATATTAATGATATTGTCCGATGGTTTCCACATTCTGGTGGGTCAATTCTCTTTGAAGTGGACATAAATATGGATCTCTTCCAGTCAGTTAGTCAGGTAGTTATCTTCCAAATTTCTGGGAATATATGGGTGAGGGTCTCCAGTGCTGCATCATTTTGTTGAAAGATTTTGATTTGTAATCCATCAATTTGGGGTGCCTTGTTCTTTGCCAATTCCTTCAATGCACCTTGGACTTCAGTATCATTGGTTCTTGATCATATGCTACCTCTTGAAGTAATTGAACATCGACCATTTCTTTTTGGTACAATGA